TATATATATATATATACGTTTGATTATGCTCGAGTCAATTATCTACCTAAAATTAGACTTATAATTTCGGATTAAGCTGTATTATTATCTATGAATAATTGTCCAAGAGAGTAACGGTCTCAGCAAGATGAAAGACTGATGTTGTCTTTTTTGTTTAGTGCATATCGCACACGTTTCGACCGCTATTGAGATTGAAATGATTCGCGAAGCGAAACGACAAGGCTGGCCGATCACTTGCGAGGTGAGAATTACGTGATTGAATTCAATTTATTGTTGATTCTTATCGAAAATTAGCAAAAAAAGTTGTTTAATAAAGGTGATGTTCGTTGATCAATTACCGTGTAAATTAAGTGCATGAAACACGTTCTCAGCAGTGATGCCTTCAGTTATTTATAAATTAGCAGTTTTAGGTTTTGAACATTTTCCTTCTTCTTCCGCATGCAAGTAGCCATATATTGTATCGACGTGTTTGGTTCTCTTATAATAAATTTCATATGCAGCAAAAACTAAATTTCAGGTATGTCCTCATCATTTGTTTATTTCGAATGATAATACGAGTTTACGTGATGGATGTGAAGAAGTACGTCCAAAATTAGCTACATCTGCTGATGTGAAGGCACTCTGGAATAATATTGATGTTATTGATTGCTTCGCATCTGATCATGGTTAGTCATTCACTAAGCGCAACTGGAATGTTTGATCACCATTATCAGGAATTTTTGCTTTATTTGGATCATTTGTTCCATGGGAGCACGAACGAATGCAGAATTAAAATCCTTTAAGCGCCACATCTATTGAACGAAAAACATAGCGATAAAGTGCCTGGTTTTTCATCAATCGAATATATGGTACCGTTATTTCTAAATGCGGTCAAACAAGGTCTTCTTACAATGGAACAATTGATTGATCGTCTTTATCACAACCCGAAACGAATCTTCAATCTTCCTGAGCAAAAGAATACATATATTGAGGTGAAACTGCTATTTATGTGGTTGATTTTGTTCACACGTGAAAACAAAATCGATGTTGTAACATCAATTTTGTTTTCACGGCATGAACGTAAGAACTTTGTGGTGATTTTTTTGATTGCACATACTGTTATCTTGTTTTTAGGTTGTGACCGTCATCTGCTCTTATTTTGAGGTTATGGAATGAAAAATTTATTTGAATAACGTTTTGAGTTATTGTTCTTCTTCTAGGTTGATCTAGAGGATGAATGGACGATACCAGAGACGGGTGGACAGAGTCAAGCCGGTTGGAGTCCGTACGCAGGAAAGACGTTGAAAGGACGTGTGAAAACGGTTGTCTTGCGTGGAGAGGTGTGTGTTAAGCTGTTGATTACTGAATGGTATTTATTTCATGTTGCCTTTTCAGTAGAACTGTTCATTATTTGTTCACTCTTCAGGAAGCGTACGTTGATGGTAATTTTGTTGTTCAACCTGGATACGGACACAATGTAAGGCTTGATGAACAGAAAGAATCAAAAGTAAACGCGAAGAAGTTGTATGCTGGTGATGGTGATACCAGTCTAGGTGCAGTAGTTCTTGTCAATATTCTTTTTCTCTTAAATTTTTTCATCTTTGTTTAGAGCGTTCATTTTTTCATATTATTTTGATGTATTTTTTATGAATCAAAACTTTGTCTAAGGTACAGTTGATAATCTAACCGATGAATTAACACTTCAAACTGGACTCGTCTCATCGCCTGAAAAATCGGCCGAACAGTCACGTCGTGTATCACCAACCATTCGCGCACCGCCTTTCGATGAGCTTTTCAAGGTTTCATTTTCAGTAGTTACCGGTCGATTTCAGCTATCTTAAGTGATTCGTTATTTTGATTAACAAGTCTTTTCAATTGCTTTAGCAACGTGCCTTCTTCACATCGGTTGATGGTATGTCAAAGGAGATGTGCAGTGTTGTGTTCGATCTTGCCGCAAAATACAAACGCGATGTTGCTAAATTGATTCCATTGGAACATGTGTTGAAGGTTACTTATTTCATCGCTTTCAAACAAATACTAGATATTGATATCTATCAAAATTCAATGCTTTCTTCCAGCGTCCCAAAGAAATCGCAAACAACCGTTTTGAAACGCTTCATCTAGCATTGTTTGATGTTGCTGCTAGCATTTAAGGGTCGTGTGATGGCGTTAATGTTCTACGAGGCATCAACGCGGACTGCAAGTTCATTCGCGTCTGCAATGCAACGTCTTGGGGGATCAGTTGTCTATTTTGATCCGGGCAAATCGTCTGCGAAAAAAGGCGAAACACTTGAAGGTATGTATATTCAGCAAAAGCAGTGCATAACTAACAAATCAATTCAACTAAGTGGTGAACACACAAAAGTGATTTAGATACTGTCAAAATCATGTGCGGGTATGCGGATGTGATCGTAATGAGACATCCAGAAGAAGGAGCTGTCGCACGTGCGGCATCTGTCACTAGACGACCAATTGTAAACGCTGGCGACGGAATCGGGCAACATCCAACGCAGGTGCGCTTCTTCATTCATTCAGTAATTTAGAATTCAATGCTCATATGCTTATTTACGGGTATTATAAAAATCACATTAATACTGATGAATCGTGTTCGAATGAATTGCTTCGTTCAATCATATTTTTGCTATCGTTTGTTGATGATTTGTTCTTCATTTTCATGTTTTTTTCTAACATTCGATCATGAGTTTCTTCTGAAGGCATTGCTGGATGTATTCACGATTCGTGAAGAAATTGGTACAGTGAATAATATAACGATTGCAATGGTTGGCGATCTAAAGAATGGTCGTACGGTGCATTCACTAGCCAAATTATTGTGTGTCTACAGTGGTATTACGCTGCATTACGTGATACCATGCGATGACCTTGCGATGCCGTCTTATGTTTGTGAGTATGTGGCTAATCGTGGTTTTAAACAGGTTTTTTTTTCTTTTGAATCATTCAATTTTTGATATTGGCACACCACTCGATTTCGAACAAAACTTTGTCTTGCGAGTGGGACTCAAACCCGCTACGTATTTGTATATTGCAAAAAAAATTATGAAGATTTAATTCAGTTTTTGTGTCGCCATTAATTTCTCGATTGAGTTTTTAATTTTTTCAGAAAGTGTTCAAAGATCTTCGCAAAGGTATCACTGGTGTGGATGTCATCTACATGACGCGAATACAACGCGAACGGTTTGCGTCACAAGAGGAGTACGATCGCATGAAGGGTGACTTCATATTGACGCCGTCATTGCTCGGCGCAGTAACGCATCCTGTTGGTGCTACATGCAAAGGTGAACTGCTTTTATTCATATCTCTGCTTTCAACTTACCAATTACAAGTAATGTAATTCAGGTCGTGAACGTCAACTGCCAATCGTAATGCATCCGTTACCAAGAGTCGATGAAATCAGTCATGAGCTGGATGGTGACGAGCAAGCCGCATACTTCCGTCAAGCTGAGAACGGTGTTTACGTTCGTATGGCCGTTGTTTCGTTGGTTCTTAACGGTACTGCTCGTTTGTGAGTGAGAAGGCTTATTGATTGGCGTCGTACACGTTTGTTTTATGATGTTCACTTGTGCAATGGTCAAGCACTTGGATGATAGTTCATTCAATTTCTCATCAATGCTTTATTCAATTTGTGTTTTGCGCAGCTTTTTGCCGTATCGCACGTATTCTTCTGAATAATGTATCATCACTGTTCAGCATAGGATAAGTTCCATATACTTTATTAAAATGTTTTTTGACGAAATGAAAGGAAATAATTTCTGATTGATTGTAGACGATTTGAAACTGACCGCATGTGAAAATCAGAAAAATTATCTTGTGGAAAATTTTTCATTTTTTCCAATTGTGAACGTTCACACTTTGCACATCTTCCTGGTTTCATTGTTTTGCTTTTATTCTTCGCTCCTCCATCACTTGATCTAAGCACCCGCCGAGTTTGTTTATTGATCTTCTGCCTTCACTAGATTCAATTGTAATTATTCGCATTCGATTTTGTTTTGTGTTCGTTTTCGTTGGTTGCTTTTATTTAAATGTTATGAATCTTCCTTTCTTTTCATAGTTAAGTGATTCACATTGAATTCGTAGCAAATTTCATTTATAGGTTAACGATTAATTTAAAACCTGAAACAAATTTTGATAGAACTCTTGATGAACAAGCGAATGAAAATCGTGCTCGAAATGTTTGTTCGGTTATATTAATTTTTTATGTATATCAAAACTGGTTCCACAAAAGAGTGTGCTCATGTAGACGAAAAAAAGATTAATTATTTCATTTCCTCTTCGAAGAAACATCCGTTTGTCACAATCTCGTGAATGAAAATGTGCGTGAAAATTCTTTCGCGATTTCGTTAATGCCACAAATGTGTACTTCGTTTGTTGTTACTGTTATTCCGCCGTTTGCGAAAGTTTGCATTTTAGTGGCGCTGTTGTTGTTGTTTTCTGAAATTCTATTGGATGCTTGAAACAAATAGCAAATCCGTGTTATTGTTATCCGTTATAAGTTTGCATGTTGATCTGTATGCCTTATAATGATGAATTTATCAGTTGATGAAATGAACTGAATTGATAATATCCGGAAGATTGATTTCGGTTTTTTTATTGGTTGTTGTTTTTGATCGAAATGTTTGCATTAATTTCACATTTTATGCTCAATAAACAATTGAATTAATTTTCGTTGTCCGCATATAACAACTAATGGCTCAGCATGCGTCGATAATGAGTAGAAATGGAAATCTTTTGCATTTGTTATTTATTTGGAGTCAATTTTATCATATATTTGGCGTTTGAAATCAGCCAAACCCGGAACTGTGTCACAACAAAGAAAGTAGTGTGCATAATTGAATTGCATATAAACCAATGAATAATTTCAATCTAAAAAACAAACATTGCATATCGATTGTCGATGAAATCGTGAAATGTATAGATTGAATCGTTTCTTTGTTGAATTGTAATTTGTATTCGCAGATGATGAGTTTTGAGAGTTTTTTCTCTGGAACCATTGTCAGATAAATTAATATTTTCGGAGATTTATGTTTGAATTCACTTAGCAGAAACATGTTATAAACAGAATTCAAAAAAGAAGACAATGCATATCCGTAAAGTAAGACGTACGCACTAAATCAACGCGGAACAATGACGGTTATACTCAATTAGGAGATTGCAGCAGCCGTGCTGTGTTATTTCAGAGAAGGTGTAATGAATTCACTTGTGAAGTAAACGAAAAGAGTACTGAATCAATTTTCAAGGTTAATGAAATGAATAAATGAGAGTGAATATTGGACAATTGATGAAAAATAAACAATTGAATCGGTTTATTAAATAATTTATGAAAAGAACGATGATCGAAATTATGATGCATTATTTGTCATTATAAGAAGGACTTTCAACGAGTATTGATGAATGTTTCTTAACATGGTCGTTGTTCATTTAATGCATCGTTGCACATTTTTAATATCTTCGGTTTCGTTCGTTTATAATATAATCTCGTCTCAAAACTTGTTTCAGTTTTTTTCGCATTTTTGATTTGTCGAAATTCACTCTCAGATCTTCTTTTTCTTACATATTATTATTATATAAAACAATTTCAGGAATGAACTCATCATCATAATTTCATTTTTCCCCTCAAAACTAAACACTTATGATCGATTGATTGTAATGACCTGCATTTGATCGAATGATCATAATGTTGCTTGTTGTAAAGAAGATACTTCAAGAACACGGAAATAATTTGAAGGGAGATGAGCTATAGTGGATTATTTATTTCTACAAGTGTTTCGCACTGATTTACGCATTGACTCGATTGCTTCGTTTCCATTTCACAACAAAAATTATCCATATCCACTGTTCGGAGAGGATGGAATATAGCAAAGTTAATGATGCTAGGTTCTAAATATTACACGCTCATCAACAACGTGAAAGTATGGGAACACATTCATGTCAATGAATAAAATGTGAACAGAAAGATAGCATTTTCCGAATGACGAGCACAAGGTCAGTGTCGTTATGAAGACAGTTACGTATCATCACAGAATGCACTTTTCTTCATTCTATTTGCACTTTTCGCAGAATGCACTTTCTTCATATTAATCCGGTTATAATAATAACAATTATTATTATTATTATTATTACAATTATTATTGATTAATGATAATAATAATAAGTATTATTATTACTATTATTACTTTACTAATTTATCTTATATGTTATTGGTAGTACTAAAAGCTCAAAAAAATTCCATTGATTATCACACGATTGATTATACCCTCATGATGATAGTGCACAGCTTGCTTATATGCGTTTTCTTTGTAACGATTTCTCTGGTTTATGAATATTCAGTGACCTTGATGAATTTTGCACTTAATGATCAACTAATTTTGGATTGCACGCGTCCTTTGAAGGAAATGGAACAGTTTAATATAACTGCACCAAGAACGTTCATCGTTTTCTGATTTATACAAACAACATTTTTTTAATCCACATATTTCGGAATGATCAAAAATGTGTAATTAAAAATTTCCGCTCGAACTGAATGGTTTTCAAAATAGTTATCAAAAAACTGCGAAGAGAGCATGCCATACAGGAGCAATTATATGGTGTAAACGCTCGTCAAAATTATGGATATTTTAATGAATTTTACAAACAAAACATTTTTGTATACTGGAACATATTATTATGCACTACGGAATCATCTTTCACCTCTAACCATCATAAATTTTCTGATTAATACGCTGACATTTCATTGTTTACATTTACAGTGAGGTTCACTTTTGATTTTCCGCTCATTTAGATGAAAAACACAAAAATTCGACAAGAACTGCAGGTCTATGATCCCGCTGTTTATGGCTACAATGACAATGACGATACTAGAAATAATAAGATCAACAAGTGAATAAACCTATTCTTCAGTTATGCTCAGAGGCATTTGACACGTCGACCCAAACAAATGAATATAGCGAATGAACTAATCTTATGAATTGATTACCACACATTCACAATGACATACAAGAATAAGTATGATACAGTACTCAATCAGGATCATTAAATCAACAATGAGTGTTGATGATAATCTGATAAGTGATATTCGAGTGCTTCAAATTTTACAGCTTTAGGTTAGACATAGGCAGTCACTGATCACAAATACGACAGCTAGTATCACTGACAAGTACTGCAATGCGAATGAAACGTTACAAATAAAATATGAGCCGTCAGGATTGTGTATTCAATAGGATAGGGAATAAATCAAGTTAATAATTACACTAAGATGCATCATCGATTATTTCAGTCCTCCCATGTTAACGAATGCCTATTCAACACTCGCAACTGACAGTTACGTTTACCGTACCAGTTCACATAAGCAAATTCTGAATCGGAAACAATCGAATTAAAGCGTCCGCCGAACTTTTTGGCCGCTTCTCCTTCGATTTTTCGAGCCGCTTCCAAGTTGTCACTTTCTGTGCTTAGCGCATTCTGTAAAATACAGCAATAATACAGACTAGCGTTCGTATAACGATACTAGTGACGAGCACGTGTAATAGCTGAACGATTTGAGTAAAACCTCATAAACGAACCTCAACGATGACTTTTAGCTCGGGATCATCGCAAGTTGATGATTCGTTTTCAGGGCTAACCGGCTCAGTCGCTGATTCTACATTTGTTTCTTGGCCGTATTCGCTGCCTATCTGAAAATAGTTACACGAAACAAATTTTTGTAATATAAAGATTAAACCACTTCTAAAGCAAACAGATATCTTTGACGATATTAATGGAATGTGACGATATTTCATGTTTACCTGATTATTATCGTTTGCAGTATTTGTTTCGAATGTGTTCGACGATTGATCCAGATTGACATCACGATCAATGTTATTAATTGCTGTCTCCACTGCATCGCCGTAAGTTTGATCGCCAGATGTTGAAGCTGGTGCAACTTCAACATTTGATGGTGCATTGTTTTGACTGTAAGTACCAATACTAGCCTCAGTATCTGTTGATGTCTTGCCGTTACTTCCACCCACAATTTCATCGTACATACTGTCCGTTGATTGTTCGAATCGATTATCTGTAACCTTTATCCCTTATTCAGACCTTTCATCACGTCTATTTGCAATATATCATCATTTCATTACAATACAAGTATGATTGTCAACATCAAGCGTCTGAGTACCTCAGTTAGGTCAAACTACTTTGCAAACTCATCGAAATGATTAATTACACTATAAAGAGCTAATCATTTAAACAAAACGATGAATGCGTTCTGATTAACGCTTGTCAAAACATGAGGATATCAGAATTACCGGAAAAGTATTTTCACGTTGATAATAGCAACAGAAATAAGCACCATGAACAGACAAAAACTGTTGAATAAAGTAGAAAAGCTATTTGAAAAGATGTGATGAACTATAGGAGTTCACGCTCAGAAATGTGAGATTCATTTGTCGACATTTCAACAACGTATTCAGATTTCACAGCCAAAATGTTCAATGAATATTCAATAAACCATTACAGCGTTCATATTTTAATCCGATCGAACAAGGACATTAACGAACTGAATATGAACATATCTCAATGATCTCGTGCCAAAAGAAACCATAACGATTCCGAAGCACTGTGAGCGACATTTTTGTACGTGGACGCGGCTCATGCTGCGCTTCGGGATATATGAACTTGTAAGCAATCCTCATAGACAATTAGGGTGCGCAAATGCGAGTTTAACTCTTCAAATACTGATCAACTGACGAGCGTTATGATAAAGAGATCAAGCACGATATCGCCTTGCGCAATACTCCAGTGTACGTTCAAGAAAAAAGTGATATTTAAAGAGTGTTTTCGACTTGCTGGTATGTGATTATCATGAACGCATACGAATTGGAAACGATAAAACAAATGGGAAATGTATTGTATTCACAACGAAATAGAATTACAACACACCTTCAGCTGGAGCCGGCAAAGGAGCGGGTGCAGGAGCGGGTACAGGAGCGGGTGCAGGAGCGGGCGCTGGTGCTGGTGCTGGAGCTGGGACTGAGTCGGATGCTGAAGGGACTAATGCTGGTTCTAACGAAGCTGGTGCTGCACCTTCAATCACTGATGGAGCGTTGTCCTCGCTGTAGGACTGAGAAGGCTGTGGAGCAGCCGGAAGGTTGTCAGCTTGGAATGAAGCTCCGTTAGACTGACGACGTTCGTTGATGCTAGGCAAGGGTTCTTTGATTAAATTGGAACCTTCTCCATTATAGCCTGAATTGAAACTAATCGTAAGATTATTTCGAAACCAGTAATGGGGGACTTACGATGAGCAAAATGCAAATTTTCGGAGCATGCGCAAGTTAAAAGACGTGACTGTATCGTGAACAATGGCTAAACAGCGCCGTTTTCAAAGAATTCCGCATCCATAATCAAAACTGCGAAAAAGATCGATGAATTTTTAAATGAATAAACATTATGAATGCATTTGTGGATTCATAAATTTTTCATGTCTCATGAACAAGCCGTATCTACAATCAACCAACCGCCTATTGAAGCAGCATTTTGCATTGCTACACCAACATTCGAGCTATAACCACCACCGCCTGTATTATATGAAGCAATTGGTGGTGCTGCGTAACTGCCACCTCCATTAATTGCACCTCCTCCAATTCTGTTAATTGGTCCCCCTACTCCACCAATTGGACTTCCGATTCCTCCCATCGGAATTCCAATAACTGTCATAGGAAGACCACCTCCTGCACCCCCCATTCCACAGCCTAATCCACCACCAGCACATCCAACTCCAGCACTGAATTTCATAATCAATAAATCATTGATCATCATTCACACTTAACTGCTACATCATTTTAAAAAAATGCTTTTAGCAAGATGAACATTTCGTTTTAAAAATGCTTTATGAAGAAAAGAACGTTTTCACACTGCTTCTTATAACCTCTTGCAAAATTGAGGAATAAATGTCGTGACATATATTAGTGAAGGTTATTCATTGAAATCGCTAATGTTCACTGTACCTTGGAGAGCATCGTGGCATCGATGGAGCGCATGATAGTGCCGAAGCTGGACAGCACTGTTGACCACCAGCAAGACATGCGTTTGATGATGATGACAAAAATAAGATTATATTACTCGTAATCAACAGCAGAGTTGTAGTCGTCATCTGAAAACATTCATTTTATGTCAGTAACCTTAAAGTAATGTTAATTTTCACTTGCTAGCTCGACCAGTATGCGATGGTCACTCCAGATGCAACTGAAAACCCTTTCTATATAAAACATGCTCAACATTGTATTCCGGATCGCCTGAAGGCATCACGTTTGCCCCGCCCATACATCGTCCATCTATGGCTGTTTGACGGATGCTACAATGATCCTTTCACCTTGTCGAACTGGTCGGATTAGATCCTCCAAAGAAATCGACTGACACTCGTGAATACGGCAATCGAAATGTGAAAAAGATGTGTCATCACATTTGTTGCATCTGATGAGACGATCGGTCAGCATCATCATTAACAACCAGCAATTTGAATAGCAGCAAACATCTGAAGATACGGTTATGTAAAATAAATACAAACATCTACTTGATGTTATTCGTTTTAGAATATTGCAAATCACTCTCATTAGTACTTTCATGATAATGATGAGTCAAACCTGTTTTGCAGAATTAATATTCAATTTGCATTTTATGTTCACTTTCGTAGAATTACTCATTTTTGTAAGATATTTGATCTTCGTCACATTGTCATTAATGTGATCTTTTATTTGATTTCACTAAGTGTTGAAACCATTCATCCGAAGTATTTTTCTTTCCATTCATCCTTCAATGCAAATATTATACTTTATTCAATATATTATGCAAAGGATCATCTTCGATGCATGATTCATCGATCTTATTCGTGCATCTTCTTAACGTATCAAATCGTCTTTATCAGATTTCTTTTTTCATTCATTCCTATTGTCTGAATCATCTTAGGATATACAAAATATGCACATACCAAGCATCTGCTACCGAAGTGATTATAATATTCTAATTTTCACTTCCTTTCCTTCACAATAACTTAATGATCAACAAAGAAATACATTAGTTGTAAGATAGAGTATGGTCTTATACTTCTTCTCGTTCTACTGTACTTTCTGAGAATTGTTCACATGAAGGATGAGTGAGTAGAGAAAATATCGGAAACATGATCCGTTCAAGGTATTCGATGACCTTAATCCATTCCATCTGATCGGATAATAAAATTGAATATAACTACTCCTCCACCATAACATTTTGGTATGCAAAAATTGTGAACATATCAACGATGCATTAAAATTTCGAACCAAAAACATCAAAGAAAAGAGGTGTAAAGATGGGATTACTATGATTAACAGCTAAAAACAATCGTTATGAAATGCGCATTAAACTTATTGAATTCAAGACATTTTCAGCGATACTGTGTGATGGAAAAACCAGTTATATTCGACGGGCTGCACTCAAGGATAGTTAAAAGTTTTCGGAGAACCACTGCATAAAAATCTTGCAATAAATATGAGGAGTTAGCTGAAATCTTACCAATATAACTATGACATTGTTTGATTGAGATCACTTTAAAATATTCATAGTCAGTTCAGCACAAACAGAATCGATAATGACTATTTGTAACTGAATCATTGAATGAACAACTACCAGCAATGCTCATTATGCCATTTTCCATGACCCGGAATAACTTCGGTTGAAAAAAGTTTTCAAAAATTTTGCGAAATATCTTTTCATTTTCCAAAAAAATCAAGTATATCACTATGTTCATCAGAAATATCAGGTACATTGGCTACCAGTTTTTTTAAGTCACCAATTTAAAAAAAGCATTTACTTATAAAATAGAAGAACGCTTCATCAACAATTAGAAATACTGATTGGACGCTGAACACACTAATTGTCAGGACTAACGGTTCAGCCTCACAGATCAGGCCTACTTCATCAAAAATACAATGAATAACAAAGGGGAAACAAGGTGAGGATAATTCCTCGACATTGGCATTACGACAAAGATGAGTCTAAATTGATCAGTTTTTAGAACCAATTTTAAGGCTAAATTATCATTAAAACTCTTACCAGAATATTCGGTATGTTTATCGTAGTAGCTGTGCATACACTCGGTTTGCAGTTTCAACAAATGATCCTGAAGCACTTCAGGAAGATGGTATTTTGACCGTTAGTGTCGCGACTAGTAAATCGCAATTTCAGTACTCGTACAGTACCAGTACAGTACTCGTACAGTACCTGTACAGTACTGGTTTACTCATTCCAGTCTGAAGCGTAAATAGCATGATAAAACTTCAAATAATTCGGCTCACCCTAGAGATTGTGGACTAAAGTTACAATTTGCGTTTCAGCTAAGGCAAAAAAACGTAGAGTGCATTGAGTACGGCTATTGTCGGCCCCGTCTATACATAATTATAAACTGAATTTTACTGAATGTAAGTATAAAGCTGACGTGACTAGTAGTTAAACTGCACCTTAACCTAACAGAAATTGAAATCAGTTACGCTTGGCCTTAGACGAGTTTGACTTGACTTCAATACACTTTATGTTAACTTTTATGATTACCTTTCATTTGCTTGACTAGGAGATAAATTCACTAAAGCATGATTTCGACAAGAGCAGAAATGATTACGATATATCATAGTTGTGAACTTGCTTGAAGCTGGCACAGCTTTGGACATAACCTTGCGCTTGGCTTTGTTAACAATTATGCTGGCATATTAAAAAAATGAAAATCATTCCACATAAAAAGTTTAATTCTAAAATCGTAGGTTATGAAGCGTTCTATGAATTGAGCGGTAGGTCTGGAAAGTTTACCTGGACCACTCACCCTGCAGTTGCCAGTGGGTGATTTCAGATTTTGACCTGTTATTTCTTTCAACGTCACAGGTACTGTACGAGTACTGTACGAGAATCAGCCTTATTTTTCATCTTAACTGTACCAACGTTGCTGCTTTGCTGTCCGCAGTTGATTTGTAACAATTTCATCAAAGCTCTAATTAACAGTAAATCAACAGATTGTTCAGCGGCATGAAATCCGATTTTAGCTCATCTTTCTGCTAACATGACAGTCACTTCACGTTTCCTTCGCAATTTAATAGTTCATGCATTGCTTTAGATATATAATTCGCTCTTGTTAATTAGGGTCAATCCGACTTAATTCGAGTCAGATGATCCAGCAGGGAGATCGCTGCCCGTTTGTTTCCTCTCTACCATCGGATTCTCCAGATTGTTTAGTTTCAGTAAAGTACATATGTTGTGGGGTGATTTTGTTCACTGAAACTGATATGAAGGAATTTCTAGAGTCACTTCATGTATGTGCGCCCCCCATTGCTATACATTCCATCTGCAATGATCCATGTATACAAAGGATTAGAAATATCAAGATCACCACTTTCAAACTGACGTTACTCTCAGGTTTTCACAGAAACATATCTTTTTTCTAGGCCATCGGATTCTCCAGATTCAATTGTGTTCACAGAAATGTTATTTATTTCAGTTTTAATTTTTTGCAGTGCCTCAACCACAGTATTTTCAATAATAAATTTTTGTACACATTTTATTACAGTTCCATAAAAAACGAAACAAAATCGCTCAGATCTTTAGGTGGGTGGTTCACTGAAGTTTTCGCTTTAGTCATTATTAATTTGATGCTGCCTACGCTTAGTGCACACTTTTGAAAATCGTCGAAGTTTACAAAATCTTGTCGAATGACCATCTTTACGACATCTTCTATTCATATATGCCGACAACCGGAGCGTTCGTGATCATCGTTATCACAGTTTTTACAAACTTGACGACAAATTACAAACCATATCTGCTTATTTCGATAGAAACTTCTCGATCACCATCTGTAAGATCAGATCACTTTCTATCGCTTCAAGGTGAATGGGAATACTTTCTCGACCGTCATTGGGTATTATACGTCTCCGGCTTATCTACCGTCGTCCGTCAAGTCACATTCTTACTTGCCTGATTGTGAGGTCTACGTCCTGCATCCGAAGCATTATCAGAGACTCCTTCGAGCGTTTTGGCACATTTCAACGCTTCCTCAGCTCAAATATATTTACTTTCCAAAATTTCCTCCATATTTCAACAGATTTCATACCACTAACGACAATCACTGCCGACACCACATCCCAGGCGTCTTTAGCATTTTCAAACCGATAGGTAACTGCAAGTTTTGTACTGCTACATGACATCCTGCTAGTGTCTGTTCATGTACCATCATAAGGCCGTTTCTTTCAGCTTTTTGGTCTCATCAAAATTTGCCTTCGAAACTATTCTCACTTAACATATGACTGATGACCTCGTACCGTTATATTCCGCAACTGTTTTCTCGAACTGTCTTTCTTATCACAGATTCATAACTATGAACATCAGAAAAATGTCATCCTTCCTTCCGAACTGTCTTATTTTCTCAAACGATTCACGTTCCCAATGCCCACTGCTTTCGCAGAGTTGCAAACCAGCAACGTCATCCCTTCACGCTTTCATCGGCGACAATCATTCATCAGCATGACTACTTGCATCCTTTTTTCGACATCAACTCCGTAGAAGTGTACTCATGATCAGTGAGTAGTGAACAGGACGTTACTAAATCAAACAGATCAGATGGTCTTTTGAAAGGACAAAACCTGAAAAATTCAACTGGGAAAGAGAATAATTTATTTAAATACACTCTGAACAATGAACTGAGAACAACATGACGTTAATATTGCAACAAAGGATGCCTGTAAAATGGTTTTGAAACAACATATGTGCACAATACGCCATAATGCAACACTACAGTAGTACGCTAATCATAAACTGGTTTTAGCATACTACTCGACTTTTGAAGGCGAATTATAAAACATATCATTTAAATGATCACAGACAGTAATAAATCGGCATTCATGACAAACACAAAACCCGAAAAACTGAATTAAACGCAACAAAGTTATACTCATTACACTGACAAAAATATCACAAGGCAACGTGAAGTATTGCAAAAATACGGAATATATCATTTAATATGTTTGAAAACAACGCACGAATCATCGGAATCGAGTACGTATAAACTATTGTGTTGCAGGCTCGAGGATTTTCGGAAACTCTATCCCCGACTTTTCTTGAGTCAACCGCATTTTCGGGACCCTCAGCTACAAAATTTCGTCTCCGATTTTCCCCATCCCCGCAACATACTATTATAAATATACGACCATAACAGCCAAATGTTAATAGCTATGGCAATTTGAAATTTGTAAAGTATGGTGAAAACAACACGACAACGAATATTACATAGACAAACATGAATGATTGATATGGAAAAATGAAGTGAATGAATCAACTGGAATGAAGAAAACACAAACAATTACACTCATTCACATCAAACAAAGAAGGAATGTATAAATGTTAAAAGTGAGAACGAAGATAACAAATATAACGATATTAATTATTGTTTTGCTGGTGATGACGATGATGACTTAGCAGTATTGCTTACAGCTTCATCATAAGATGGAGGGAGTGCGTCGACTGCAACAAGGGGTGCTGTTGGGAATTGCTGAGGTATAGCCGATGTCGACTGAGACTGAGGTGCTGAGATGTCCGCCGTATAAGCAATAAACCATGAATGTACATCAAGTGGATGTTCTTCTGATGAGTTGTTTGATTTTATATATTTCGAACTTACATCAGCTGAACATATAACACGCCATCCATGTCTTCCTAATTCATCTATTAGACTTATCATCATCATACGACATAATTCATATTGGTGGTCACCAGTGAGTGACGATACGGTTGATGACCATGGGTATCCAACGAGTTTATACTCAAAACTATTTCCATAGTATTCTAAAGATTGGCCATTTTATGCAACATTTTAATATAACATTTTGAAACGATACTTCAGCTTTTGATTTTCTTTTGAAATGAACTTCCACTTTAGTGAATAAATCGGAGATATCATTTTCCCTCAGAGTTGTCCTATTGCTAATGATAAATAAAATGAAAAAATTCCAGCGAAATTAAATACAATACGAATGCGTAGAGTTTAGAAGAATAAAGCTGGTAATGAGTAATCTCAAAAAGCTGATTCGAATGACCAAAACTTTTCGAACAAAATCAATCACCAATTATAAAGTATACCTTCCCGTTGAATACCTAGAGTCCAGCACGAACGAAGAACATTCCCGACGACTTCAATCATTTCTTTATTTGCATTAATTACTCTGAGTTTATCGGTTTCCGCAGGACAAATTGCAAAGTGAGGTATAGTACTAGCTGCACAACGCCGCAGCAGAAATACCGCCTTAAACGACAATAAACAATATTAACTCGATGACGATTAAAAACACAAACCTTGTCAGTTGCTCTACGCGACAAATCAATCGCAGTAACAACAGCCCATCCAATCGTAACTAACTGCTGTAGAATGATTGTTATCAAAAGACGACTCTCTAAAAATATGATTGCCACTCATTTTAAATATGAAATAACTACCACCCATTTAATGAAATAATTTTCAGAAGGTGAAAGAAAGCTTAAATTAACAAAAATGTTGCTCGCAATTTATATACCTACTGCTTCGGTACCCATACTGTTCCAAGGAAATCCTCCCAACTTGTATTCGAAATGCAATGGATCACCACCTTTCACTTTCGCGTGTTGAATACCTTTCACCCAATACCGTTGAAGACATTCACCAACCAGCTAAAATTGCAACACAATTATTTTCAACCGTGACATTTACTCTTAAGAATGAACTGTAAAGTAACCATTAAAAATTTTCTTGAGCAATAACTTAAGACAACACGGAATAAGTTAGGATGCGTAAAGCTAACAACAAAAAAATCCAAACTAAAACTCCAGCACGAAATTTATTAAGAATTGATAGATGGAAACGAAAATGATACCGTTTATTGGCCTTTAAAAACATTAATGGGAACCCCGGATGATGTCAAGAAAATTAAAACAGTAGTGTTTTGACTTTTTTCGTTGAGAAGACAAAGAAAGGAAAATTGAAAGCAGTAATTATGTGATAGACACTGACATCAACAACTTCATTCGGCGCACACACGAGGCGAAGACGATCACTTGCATTCAACGAGAGCATGCAGTATTCTCTTTGTCCAACATCGTCACGATCCTATAAGTACGATCGTTTATTTCTTCTTGAGCATAACCTCAGAAATGACTGATAGCTACAATCGAATGATATTCAAATCACATTATACTGCATTGCACACGGATCGAATTTTCAGAAGTTTACTCACATCAGCGCAATACGTCCGTCTGCTGCCTCTTCTCATTCTATCTACATTTGTTTCGTTCTATACCTTTCGAACGAGAGCACAACCAGACTTTCGCAAACAAAAACAACTAAATGGATCACAAATCCATAATAAGATCACGTCACGCTTTATTTGCACTCAGAAACCATTTAAAACTATAAATGAATTAATTTCTAGTATAGGTGCGAATAAAATGTAATGATGAACACATGCTTCATAGCATGAAGAAATAAAATTGCATGAAGAAATAAACAAGAACCGAAATGAAGAATAAACAAGAACCGAAATGAAGAATATGCAATCAGCAGTTCCTTTGATATTCGCCGTTCCATAAAAACGGTACCTGAGTTCATGAAAACGACTGAACGTATTCAACAGCAAACTCCTTGCTTGAAAACCACCTTCTGCTGTTAACGCTTCCCACAGATATCCTAAAGCATCAAGTATTATTCAACAGCAAGTCGTTAAAAATATCATCAAATTTCTCACAATTAAAGTTTTTTAGCATTCCGAATTATTGCAAGTCTAGTGGGAACGAGAAAACAATAGGAAATTCGAATCAAATGCAAACCAACGGAACGAAATTCTCGAAATTACCTTTCATTTGCACCTCAAAATAATTTTGACCACTGTGATCTCGTTGATGCAAGGTATCTACACACTCAATAAGGATGTTATTTGCTTCAACAGGTGCGTTCACTAGTTGCAATCGATCCATAGAACTCAAACTAAGGCACATAATATGGCAACCACTGAAATCATTATGCTTGTAATAACACTGAATCATGCGTTTACAGATAAGTGAGCAGACATGACGAAGCAAAAAACGAACAGCAAATTAATTTAGTGCATATTCGTGATTTATTAGGAATTGATATTTCCTATAAATATTGTGATGTTTCCTTTGCTTGGAAAAAGAAGTTTCAAAACAACGTCGGAGATATTTCAGATTAATATCGGATGAATCTTTTAGTTTACGACCAATATGATTCGTCGATACTGAAAAATTCCGTTTGATCTAAGATCTCTTTCAAAACGGAACATTACTTTCTTGTCCATCAAGGCGGGTCGAGAATAATTTTTTCAACTTTCCAACTATTCGACAGCGATAAAGTTTGTCGGTCTTCCTTGAATTTTCCTTAGTCTTCCTTGAATAAGCCTGGGCTGAGCTCCAACTCATTCTTAAGCTTCAAGCCCTCAAGACAGCTTGAACGCGATATTAATGGGCCTCTAATATTTATCGGCACTTACCACATACCTCCTCAGCAATTTTGACAATTGATACTTTTACGCTAATCGCTTTAAAGTTCATGTATCTTATCGGCAAAGGCGAAAAAAATTCAGTCACGGCAATAAACAATTACAAGATAACGAATTCCTTCATGAACCGAAAAGCATACTCGTATCCATTGTTCGGTATTTTTTGAAAGAAGAGTGTAGATAAATCACGCCTCCGACTGAGATCACTGCTAAGTGTTAGTTCCCATCCGTTTTCGCGAAGGACTTTCAGAAGCTCACATAACATTAGCTTGGTTTGCACGGATATTTCACGTGAAGAAGTTACGAATGGCATTCCTCTTAGTTTGAATTTATAAGCACCACATGGACCCTGTGATTCGGATTGAATTCCTGCTGCAAAAAGAACTGATTCATTGCAACGAACGTCATATTTCGTTGACTGTATCTGAACCACAAATATAAATACCAACCAGCTGATAATTGTGACACAACCGATCGAACCATAGAAATGACTTCTTCCGATGCATCAACAAGCACTATGCTATCGGTTACGTGGAATGTAAGGCAAAAGTATGTGAAATCCTTGGGACGTTTCGGGAATGAGGATACCTGCTGACCCATCTCTTCCGACTGCTACTAATGCTAAAAATGAGAAGAATATTCAGCAAGCGAATAACTGACGAGCGTCATCAAAAAACCTTATATTGAAACAATAAATTTGCGAATGATTAATGCAGCACGACGAAGGAGACACGTAGAACGTGTGTACGACAATTTGATCCGTGATATGTCCCACTCAGACAATTAGCACCGCTCAAGTCAATGGTAACGAGTAAACTTCATCACTGAATAGCAAGGCGCTGCTTGTTGAAGTGGAATGCTGACAGTTCGCCAAGTGATGGAACTCATTTGATATGAGTTCAGAAATGTGAATTTCTTACCTATTAGACAAGAATGAATCCGGGCAATTCAAATATCATTTTGTAGCGCAGATCCAGGAAAATAAAACATGGTGTGTAGATTAGCTAGCAGTGAAGATATGTTCGAGATTTTCTATTCCGCTTTAAGTACAAAAGCTGAAAAAATAATTTCAATTGTTACCCACCCCCTCCCCTCCTCCCCCCCAGAAAAAATTTATAGTCATGTTGTATACTATCGTGTAGCCGAGATTGAGTACTATAGAGATTCGCTTTAAACATTGACATCGATTGCTAAGTTAATCGCGCTGATCGGCGTAACTCTCGTAACTTTACAATTGGCGTCAGTGTTAATTGCATTTCTGCAAAGAACTGAATCTCTGCTATAAAACCTCGAAAAAATTTTTAAAAAACCCAGCTTACTGCAAATGTCCGACAACAAAATATCATGTTTCTCACTTCGGCGAGGTGATCCCCGAAAAAAGTTTCCCACGATCTGATAAGGTTTCTCAAAATAATTTCAATTGTTCAAATAATTTCAAATTTACCACATTGCGTATGATTTTTCATAAAATTTGATTGACTGTATCTGAAATAGTTTGATGATGCTTCAATCAATTCAACTGAGATCATATCACGAACGTGACCATGTTACAAATTTAAGAGTGAATCATTTGATAGTTAAAAAAATATTGATACTCACTGGAACTGATTCCAGAGGCGATCATTTATATAATTTTGATCATCGTACACCAGCATATACATTACTCTAGCGCTATTGGGGTTGCCAAATACAAGTTTGTGTCTTATTGGATGAGTTATGATTTTTTGGTTAAGTTGCATTGCGATCAGTTCATTTATATTCGAGGATTGAATCAGTTCAAATGGAATGAGATCACTACTGAAGAGAAAACAATTGTTTATTTGGAAATTTCTTCATGGCATTGTTGCAGTTTTCTTGTCTAACTCGAGGAAAGAATTAAAGCAGTTGAGGAAGGAAAATGATGATTTGACGAAACAACTCGATAGATTCATTACTGGTGGTCAGTGAGATAATTGGAGCGTACGATTTTTCAAACAGTCACGTTTCGAACGGTTACACAATGATCTTCATGTTGATATTATGACTTTGTTTGTAAGTGTTGAACGAACTGTCCGAATTAGTTTTGCCTTTCATTTTTGAATATTTCTCAATGCTATTAGTCATTCAATGAGGTTTGATGTATTAATATCCACTTCATTATTGATTCATTCATGTTGGTATAATGTTGGTGTAAATTTTTCAAGTGTATTTCGATGTTCATTTATTGTAGTGTTGTTTATATGCTGCATTTATGTACAATAAATACTTTCATTTTGTTCATGGTCAGTGCCTTACATCATATCACAGCATGGTTTAAGTTGGTTTTCAAACAGTTAGGAAGGTAAATCGTACGTGATATCAACAAACAAGAAGTATTGACCAGTATCAAGTTTCCTGAAGCTTTGAATGAAGTTTTGTGATAGCATTACGGAAGGAGTCTGATAGACTGGAACAAACTGGTATTTGACAGTTCATAAATTAGGCAAAGTATGTGTAATGTGTGAAAAATACAAGAAAACCCATTTTTACGCAAGTGTACCATGAACCAAAGCACCTTTGCTTAATATAGCGTTCGTCGGTTAAACAGTTTACAAACAATTATCACTTATCAATTCTATCAGAGTTCTTATCAGTTGCCTAGTATAACACTGTCTTCACATGGTTATCGCATCATGCACCTTTCCTATGCTAAACCATCGCAGTGTTCGACAATACTATATGACTTTGAATTGATTTATTCATTCCTGTACCACAGTTGTTTTAGAGTGTATTCAGATTCAGAACGTAAAGAGTCCCAGAAACAACGCGTATTTCCACTGAAAATCTGATTTTGTTAATGTAAAAGCTGGATCTTGCAAATCTTACGATTATGTATTAAATTGTCTTGCATCGATTTGATCAAAGCTTTTGATCTACACCAAAATCCATGCTGATCTCATTTTTGGAGCTTTTTTGCTAACATTAGCGATTTGCTTAACTCGGCAAGACCCATTCACATTCGATACATCGACTTATTCGGGTAACATCAACGGAATCTGATCTGTGTCTTCCAGAAGAATGTTACTGCTCAAGGTGCTGGTCTTATTAACGTTGGTGTCGTTGGTTGTCGCTTCGGGTATGACCTGTGCGTTTTGTCAGTTTGGTTTAGCGACGATTCTCAGCAAAATACAGAACACTCCCAATTCTCTGGTAACCAATCAACATTACTTTACCCTAATTATTCGACTCCGTTTCGATTCCCGTTCAGTTGTTATCATTAATTCAAAACCACCGCTTTTTTGAATATTTTAGAACACTTTGAAAATTTTCTAATCGTCATGATTTTGGTAAAGAGATCAGCCCAATTAGATTCAGAGAACCATATCTATAACAGGGATTACGAACGAGACTGAATAAATCCCGTGCTGAAAGCAAATTCATCGTTCCATCTGGATGTTTCCGACTTTCAACCAAAAAATGCTAGTAGGGAGAAGAATGTGACTTCCCATATTCCCTGCTGTTTAGGAAACCTCTTCAGAATATTATTCTTTCCACATTTGCACGGGTCTGAACTGTAACACTATTTGAGCAAGCCAACAAAACAAATTGATCGCTAATGAAAGTATTGCTCAACTGTGATATGTTTGGAATAGCGATCAATTGAACCGATTCTTCACGAAAAAACACAAGCATTTTGAAGGAGCAGCTCGGTTGGAGGATGGCACAACAGTGTGACAGTTATCCGAACAAGCAAGCTCGTATTGAATGCCGCAAAATGTTCCGTGAGCATACTCGAGAGATATTCAACAAAGTCATCGACTCTGGAGTCACTGATAGAGAAAAGCTTTGCCATGAACTTGGTTTTTGTTGAGTTGTTCATTTGATTGATTCAATATTATTCAATTTTTCGATAAAATGAAATTTTATGCTCGTGTGAACACTCGAAAATATTCCATTTGACTGAAATTAGCAAGAATTGATCTCTCGATATTTCGATAATATATGATTAAGGGAAGCATAAGTGCCATCGAAGTCTAAGATCCTCCTTAAAGTTATATCAGTTTATTTTGGTCAAAAGGTTGTTATCATATGGTGATAATGGAAGAATTTAACGAATACTACCGAATATCAATGTCTTTATCAAATAAAAATGTCAAATTTATTAACAATCCAACGTGGACAAACTCCTCAGAGCATTATTCCCTTCTGCGTTCCTTCGTTTGCATTTTATGTGTTTTCACAAGTGCTTTAACATCGCGTCGATGTAATATTGAATCCTTGGTCAATGCCTCAATTGCTGCTGTGGCTACAGCCTCTTGACGTCGTTGCTGTAGAGCTTCTCGATATTGCACTGAATATTTATTACTATTATTATGATTGTTACTGCTGTGACTGTCAATTGTAATTGTTAATATTATCAGTTCTGTTATCAACATTCGTATCTCTATCATTGTTATTGCTTTGTCAATATAAGTTCCGATAATATACTTATGATGCACATTAAACAGCTCCCTATTATTATAAAAATTCGTATATTAGACTTTCATGAATGCATCCAAGTCAGTGGATGAAGGCAACTGAAAGCTCTTTGATAATAATCGAATTAAAGTGAGTGAATAAAACGATTGGAGCTGTAAGATATTATTCAGTTGCATAGCTATCTGAATACTCCCCTCCCCGCTAATCACGATATGCTATTGTTGGTTGATTGTATGGTAGTATCACTTTGAATATTGCTCATGAACTGATGAAATGCAATAGCTTTACTGAATGATTCAGTGCATTTCTCGTGTGCATTATGAATGATGAAGATGACTGCTCAACAAAAATCTAACTCGAATGAATCATGATCAATCCTCCCCATGCGATCGACCAAAACCAACCGACAAACAGAAATGTGATCGTGAAGAATTGACTGATACCAACCAAGAAGTTCACCACCAATGTCACCAGTTTACGACCTTCTTTCATACCGATTCTCGGTTGACCCATACACAGTGCACTTATGCCACTCAAGACTGTTCCTCAACAAAATTGCAGCCAATAGATAAAGATTCTGAACAGGATTCGATGGAAGTTCAGTTTATGATGGTGTTTTTTAACTCGGGTAAATGCGGTCAGTTGATGGCAACACTCTCCATCCTCCTATTTTCTGAGTATCATTAATTCATAAGGTTCTAACAGGATTTTCATTCGTTTTGACAGGGTTTTCATTCTTTTCCTTGATGTTTCAATTGTTCTCATAGCTTTTATCACTAAAATTGTTCTCTTTTGCTAATTTCTCATTCATTTCATTCAACAACTGAATTCAAATTCTCATTCTATCAAACACACTCTATAGTCAATCATTTGACAGTCGAACGTTGTTGATCAATAATATTCGATTGCTGTATTGTTAGTCTCGGCTGTCAACTCTCGTCAAAGTATCCAATAAATACTATATACTACAGAATGAGAAACTGATTTGAACTGTAAAATGAAATGAGACGAAGTGAATGATAAAAACTCATGGAGAGAACGGTATTCGCATGTGATAGTTATGAGAGTGACTACAACACGTCTAAAAAGAATGAGAATCAATCTGAATCAATTTAGAGTGAGCTTGTCACAGACAACAGCTTTTCATGCAATCATAATCGATTGCAATCATGAGCAACACAGCGGTCTGGGACACACTGTCTTCCAAAATACACAAACGAAGACCGGCAATGACATATAAATAGAGGACAGTCATTATCAAATCCTTATGAAAATTCTCCACTTATTTCCGAGTTGTCGGGATAATTTCTGTGGTGCGAATTATGATTGCGCCATCATTTCATCATCATATACTGTTCAAATGTTCAAACGTGAACATCGGATACCAAGTGAATCAACCTTAGAATCAGGCTTAGACAACCTTAGAACTAATCTTAGAATCAGGCTGTAGTTAGATAAAGGTTAAGCGCCGACTCAGACGCGGTTCAATTCTAGGTCCAAATAGTCAATGTGATATCAGTTGATCAAAAGATGAGATGAAATGAAGCATGACCGAATGATATATAAACAAAGATTTTTAACAGTTGCAATAGCATACCTGAGCCCGGGCATACAATGTTAAGGGTCAAGCAGAAAGCTGCGACCGGAACGGGCAAAAAAGGGATGGCTTGATGCATGATAGTGATATCGTTTGTTGGTAGATGAACTTTATCACCGTTATTTGCGGCACCACCAACTCCTTTATCACGAACATTATGCGCTTCTTCTTGTGCAGCCATCACTATTCCAGTGATATTCAGCGATGGGGTGGCTGGCTTCAATTCATTATTTCGTTTGATAGTTCGATTTGCGAATTTCTAGCTCTTGTAAACATTTATTTTCATAACTCTGCGAAAGATATTGGAATCGCTCATTTTCCGACGAACATTGAAGTTCATTAGAAGTGGCGTTTCATAAAGAATAGTTCCAAAAATGAGCTAAATAAAGATGACAGCGAGTAATTGAGGATGGATTCGATTATGGGATGCATTAAAGGATTGATACAAACATTTCAAGGGCTGATCAACGTTTAAGTATAAACACAGAGAGTTATTTGCATAATATGGCGATGCAAATTTAGTTTCAATTTATCAGTGCTGTTTGGTAGCAATGCGAGGATATGACTACATTCTATCACTTCGAAAACCAGTATGAAAGTACTAAGATGAACTGGTTCTTAGCATGAATGCTCTGACTGGTTCAACTGATTAACAAATTGAAGTCATCATAAGATCTAGCATGAATTGAATGAGGTATAAATGAGATCAAAAAAACGAACAGCAACAAGAATGCCCTCGCTATAACCGTATTCAAGAATACGAGGTATAGAGCGTTGGACAAATTTCCAGCCATGTGGCCTCTCAGTGCCACGAAGGGCGCCTTCTGAAACTTCGTAAAATCATCAGTCACTCAGTTACGAATGAATCCTGATAAATGAGAAGGAAATTGTAATTCACTGAGCAAATTTACCTGGTACACTTATAGACATTTAATCGATTCAAGATGATCTCTTTCGTGATGTTCACATAGAATATACTTCAGCTTTAGTGATCTCATCGAGAAATTATGTGACAAATCAGTTGATGAGTTAAGTTCACAACTGTATGTTTTGCCCGATTATAGTAATATTAGCAAATAAGTTTTCAGTCAAATAACTTTTGCTGCGTTAGACGAAAAGCTCACTTATAATGGCCAAAAATTTGACTAAGAGAACGAATTTACACTCACAATCAGCGAACTCGATTCAAAAGAGACCAGAGTAAATTGTAATGTTTGAGTTGGTGTGTTTTTATAAACTAACGCAGTGGGGTGTTAACTCTAAATTGCTTCACTTCTCAAATCTGAATTCATTCCGCTAAATTAAACATCTCACAAAACATTCGCAGTTATTATGAAGGCTATATAGGCTACGAAGCGCTCTGAATAAAGCAAGGTAATTATAATTTATCGTAAACAACAATGCTCAGTTGACTCAGCAAAACTGATCGTTACCGGTGATCAGTCAATGAAAATATTTGCTGACGGTCCGAAAAAAAAAAACGATTTTCAGTGCGGAATTCTTGCGTTTCAAATTTTCATTCCAAAAAAAATTCTTACATATGAGAAATATTTACAGTGTTACTTGCGAAAATTGTTGAGAATAATTGAAGTGAGCAAAAACGAACCGTTAAGGAAAAAAGTGACACTCTCTGCGACACTCTGAATCATGAAAACCCAAAAGTGCCATTGAACGAAAAGCCAACAGTGAAATATTTATATATAAACATTATTGTTTTCAGTGAATCAAAATGAAAAGTCGTTTGCTTTATGGACGTATAATTATGTTTCGATTTTTGGCCAGAAATGTCCCTCAGTGAGTAACGATAACAACAAAGTGCTATTCGTACATAAAATCATTTAATGCTAATATATCATAAGTGACATCAATCAAACAGAACGATTTCCTGTTTGAACCCATGCAAACGACCCTCTAGAACAATTTTAGATGCTGGTGAATAACAATGAACTCTCTTTGGGCTCTGATTGTGAGTGAGTAAGACCCTGAGTGAGGGATTCTCTCTTCAAAAAGTATCGCATAAATAGAAATTATCCTCTTACACATCGGAATATTTCAATGATATTAACATACAGCAAACACCATGAATATTCCCCTTAAATGTCATTAATTCTAGTCAATTTTAAGCAAACGAACAATGTGGAGGATTGCAGAATTAGTGAGTACATTGTTTTTCTAAGAAATTTTCTTGGAATCAGAAAAACATATATTTTGATGAGAAATTCTGCTTTCATGCAAGCAAAAAAATTTATATGTTACTGGGCAAACTTGAGAAGACGGTAGCCT